AACTTGGAGCTGGGGGTCCCAATCAACTCGTTTCTAGTCCGTTAACAAATGGGGAGAAAGTATTTGGGCATAGAAATTTGTAGGAAAATACTGCATCTTGTTTCAAACCCGAGTTGAGAGTTTGACGAAAAACTAGAAAATTAAACACTTAAGAATTAAAAAACCTAAAACTTAGAGCTAAGGGTCTCAATCAGCTCGTTTCCACTCCATTCATCATGAAAGTGGACGGAGAGAAACTATTTGTGCATAAAAACTTTGAATTAGTAATCTTTCAAGCATATTTTATTTCACACATTTCCAATTCTCTCACAAGTCACAAATTTTTTTTCAAAAATAAACCCACCAATAAAGACTTTTATTTTAAAAATTATGTTCTTTATTATCTCATTCTGAATTGTTGGTTTGATTGGTAGATAATATAATATAATATAGCGTTTGTGGTAGATAATATAATATAGCGTTAATTAGTCCCTAAATTATATATTTTTGTCAGTTTAGTCTGCATTGTATCAATTTTATTAATTTAGGTCTTAAAATATTTAATTCGTGTCAATTTGGTCCATACATAGACAAACCGGTTAGTTTTTTATGGAAGTGATCACGTATTATTTTTTTTGACGGTATCACGTAATCATTCTGTTAAAAAACTTAACAGTCCGTCTATGTAGGGACCAAATTGACACGAATTGAATATTTTAATGATCAAATTGACAAAATTAATATAATAAGAAATAAACTGACAAAAAAATATATTTAAGAACCAAAAGTACTATAAACCCAATAATATATCATGATAACTTTGTTTAATCTGCCAATTTAATGGGTATGCTATTTGGTTCTTCGTTTTGATCAGATTAGACGTTGTGGCCACGACTAGAGTGGGAATCTGGTGTAGGGGAGCCTTGAAGGAAATACTCTCGAATTTTTTGAGAAAAATGGAAGGCGAGAGCTGATACAATGTCTTGGGCTAAACTAAGTGAAGAGTAAGATTTAAAACAACCCGATATATATCTATTCGTTGAAGAAGCAAATTCGTTGCCCATTGAAATGTTAACAAAATGTTAGGGGTAAAATACTTTTTTGATATCTAAATTTTGTGTTTTGTGTCGGTGTGGTCCTCAATCTTTTAATTATGTTAATTTGGTCTCTTAATTTTTCAATGTATGTCACTTTGGTCAATCAAAAATAACAGTTGAGATTTATTAATGGAGACCGTATGTGCATCTTATGTGATCACATTGAGGCAAATTCTTTCAAAATTTTAGAGACTGAAGTGACGCAAAGTATCAACTTGAATGATTAAAATGATACAAGTTATAAATTTGAGAGACAAAAGTGACTGCCTCTTGTGTCACGTGAATCTCTTTGTTAGTCAATTCCAGTTGTCGTTTTTGATTGGAACAAGCTGATATAAATTGAGGGAAAGTCCACGGTACCGCCTTTGGTACCATATTGTCACTTATTATTTTTATAGTAAAGTTATAACTGAAAAGAAAAAAATTACAATTGTTTAGGGGAAGTCCATGATCGATCAAGGGAACCATGATCGATCACAAATATATATGATCGATCATGAATTTCTTCTGAGCAGTTGTAACTTCTCCCTTATGAATTGTAACTTGACTTTTAAAAATTGTAACTTCGTTGTCAATCTCAATCTATCATGATCGATCATGACTTTTAAAAATTATAACTTACACCTTAAAAAAGTTGTAATTTAACATTAAATATTTGTAAATTTCGGTACAATACCTTCAGTACCATTGCCTTTCCCTAAATTCAGAAGTTGAGAGATTAAATTGACATAATTAAAAAATTGGGAACCAAATTAACACAAAATGCATAGTTAAGGTCCCGTTTGGTAACGTTTATGTTTTTCGTTTTTTGTTTTTGTTTTTATTTTGATATTTAGAGAAAATAAGAAAAAAAAACTCGTTTGATAACCATTTTTTTTTGTTATCATTTTGTAAACGAGCGGCGGTTTTCAAAAACGAGAAAAAGACGTTTTTTTGTTTTTTGATTCTGTTTTTCATTTTTTAGAAAATTAAAAACCGTAAACGTTATCAAACAAATCCTAAGGGATTAAAAATATATTTTACCTGCATTTTAACCACTTGGGCTTTAACCCATTGTCCTCCTTAACACTTCCAATTTACCAAAAAACAATGTTATTGGTACAATGTATTAAGTCTCTAAATTATATATCAATAGCATCAATGATTTCCCAAATGCAAGACCAAGTTATGAAGTCCAGTTAAAGGCAAGGTAATCCCCGGTACTCTTAATTTTTTAGAGGTGGTTTAATAGTCAAGTCTATCCTCTTGTAAATAAAGGTTCTCAGGTTCGATATTTCTTATATATCATATGGACCAACCATCCTTATTTTTTAGGAGACATGTCCTTAAATTAGCTCGAAAAAATAATCGGCACAAACTTAAACACCATTTTTTTAAAAAAAAAATCCCTGATACTTTACATTATGTGTGATTGTTTCTGTCCTGTTCCGAAGTTTTTGTACGAAGCTATTTTAGTTTTGGTGGATGCTATGGTCTTAAGGAACCCATAGAGCAACAAATGTTGTGACAACTCAACTGCGATGTTGCTGCCAGTGTGAAACCCGCAGGTCTCTTGTCTGCGTCAAACCTGTTGTATTCTACATATCTTGAAAAAATTGGATATGCAGATAAATTACCCCTCATCTCATATTGAAATATAATTATTAAAATTACACTCTCTCTAATAATTTAAATTTTTGGAGAAAATAATTGTTTAACTTTTTATATATTCACAAGCATTGCTTTTCAGAACCACAGAACTATCTGTAAAAAATTTCATTGCACTTACGTCGGAGTCAAAGTTAAAGTCTCACTGTATTCTTTGAACTTGAAGAATAGGTTTAGTCCTATCAAATTGTTGCATCTACAGATACTCAACTCCAAATATTGGGCGTGAATATCCGAGTTCTTACCCATTAGACCCATTGCTAGACGATCAAACTTGTTTTATTCATCTAGAAACAAAGGGGAAAAAACTATACGGTATGCTTTGGCAATTTAGTATTTGACATTTTGCATAGCAGCCAGAAGAGACCCGCAGTTGTTGCTGATTGTTTTTTAAAATTTTGTTTTTTGGGTACAAGACTATTCCGAGATAGCAATTGGGTATGGAGTGGTACCCTAAAATATTATATTGTTTTGTGATGGCTAATTTTTAAAGGTCACAAATATTCTCAATTGAATTAGGACATTTGTCATGCCTCCTTGTTCGTGTCAAAGTCAACATAACGTAAGTTATAATACAATAACGTCACGATCTAATACAGTCCATGTAGCATTGCTTCATTATCAAATCGTTAAGTTGATAATGATTTTATGTGGTAAGAAAGAAAAATTAGTGAAGGTGGTTATCATTTCCATTGCTTTTCGTTTGAAACTACGGTACATATTATTTTTTTGGGTTGTGGTAATTGTTTCAATGACGGGTATTTAATAGGTACAAGACGTATATGAACATGCGATTATATATAATTGAAAGAGCAATACTATTAAAATTTAATTTATTAGCCTAATTCATTACAATCATTGATTGACTGTAGGTTCATCAAATGTTGGAACTGGATATTAATCTAATAGTTACAATGAAATTATATTATTAGATCAACAAATTATGTCAGATTTTTATGACTAAATAGCACTACTCTAATCGAAATCGCAAGAGAACACCCTATTGTAATCATCTTCTTCATCAAGAAATACACCTCTAACGAGCGAGAGATGTCATTACAGTAAACTAACCCAGTTGTTCAGCAGTGTGAACCACTAAAGTTCTTATGCATTCTATCCCTATTTTTGCACACGCACACAGTGCACCTCGTTTAGAGCTCTACTAGATCATCAACCTCACTTCTCGATTTTCTAAACCATCAGAATTAAAGTAGAGGTGGTGGCAAAATTGAAGGTGTTGTAGGTGAAGACGACTTTGTTGATAACGTTTCTGTAGAATTATGTTGACGTGGGAGACGGGTTTATGGGAATATACCAGAATGAGCGTTGAACAAAAAGGACAAATGTGACTAAATTCATATCGTCTGGACTTCTTGGCCAAATATGTCTAGCGCGTGAACTTGTCACCAAATTACCCAAAAAAATCAACAATTAATAAACACATACAAATACAGAAGAATTCAAGAGATGTTTTAGGTTAGAGATCTTTTTCCACAGTCAACTTGCAGGACTTGGGTCCGAGGTTGGACAAGTTTAATGAATGCATCATACATCAATTGATGTGAACATGTGCTGTATGGAATCCACCCTACAACTACCACCAAATTGTGAGAAAAAAATTCTAACAAATAACCAAGTTGGTTTTTTTTTTCTTTCAAAACATTCCAGTTGACGTGGTTGTTATAGGCTAAGGGGCTTTAGTCATGAATGTATTTACCATGTAGCAGGGGGCAAGAAGCAAAGGATTTGCCTTAGCAGCTTCCAAGAGAGGAGTCTACAGGACCTTTTTCTTTTTTCAAAGGATGGGACGCTAATGTGTTCTATCATTCATATGTGAGCTCATAATTTGCTGTTCGTAATTTCTAAGAAAAGCCTACCATGTCAAAAATCCAATTTTGAGAGATCACAGCTAGAAGTTCTCTGAAGTCTTTTTACCTTTCTTCCACAATAAATTCGGAGAAAAAAGAGGTACTCGGATTCTCAAAATTTAAATCCAGGTAACAACTACAACCTCAAATATTGTTAGTTTTTTCCAAGTTCTTGAATGGTTACCTTAAATACCTGGGTCTTACATTAGTTGCTCATGATTTCTAACTTCTTTGTCTGCCAGGAGGTGCACTGGAAAAACCATTTTTCCTTGATATGGACTACAGGGACAATAAATATTCTTCACATTCAGTGAGGTTTTCATGCTTAAGCTTAAACATAGCCTGGTCACTTTTCAGTTATGTCATACTTGTAGGTTGCTTGAGCTTTCTGCACCCAAGGTTCCCAACAATGGTAGGTGCTTCTAGGATGCGAGGGAATGACACAGATCAACTTGCTTTGCTTGCATTCAAGGCCAACATCATTGATGATCCATTTCAAGTATTGAGCACATGGAATGCATCGATCCACTTCTGCGAATGGCAAGGAGTTACATGTGGCAGGCGCCACCAAAGGGTCACCATGTTGGACCTAGGATCCAAGAAATTGACTGGGTCAATACCCCCACAAATCGGGAATCTAAGTTTTCTTAGAAAACTCGATCTACAGAACAACAGTTTTGTTCATGAAATCCCCCCTGAACTTGGACGCTTGCCCAGATTGGAAATTTTAATGCTACAATATAACTCCTTTAGTGGCAAAATATCTGCCAATTTATCTAGATGCTCTAATCTTCTTGAATTCTATGTTTGTCGCAACAAACTGGGAGGGGCAATTCCTGCAGAGCTAGGCTTGTTGTCCAAGCTCAAAATTTTTTATATGGCTTTCAATGATCTAACTGGCGATATCCCTCATTCCTTCATGAACTTAACATCTCTTAAGATGCTTTATGCAACTGGAAATAATTTTGGTGGGCATATCCCCGACGGTCTTGGCCAACTGACCAATCTAACAACAATTGCAATTAGCGTAAATATGTTGTCTGGTACTATCCCTCCCTCAATCTTCAATCTCTCTTCTCTAGCAGTTCTTGACGTGGGGGCAAATAACATCCATGGCAGCCTTCCCTCAAATATAGGCATCACACTTCCAAATATTCAATTTCTTGGCTTTAGTGATAACCAATTTATTGGGTCAATCCCTAATTCAATAGCCAATGCCTCGAACCTGGAAGTTTTACAAATTGATGACAACAATTTTACAGGAAAAGTGCCTACCATGGGAAACCTATATAAGCTTGGGGTTGCATTGTTTGACAATAATAGTCTTGGAAGTGGTGGACCTGACGACTTACACTTTCTCTCTTCTCTGACAAATGCCACGGAGTTAAGAGCGTTGACTATGGACATTAATAAGTTTGGTGGCAAACTTCCTGAATCCATCAACAACTTGTCAACGGTACTCGAATTATTCAGTTTTAGCGAGAATTATATAGTTGGAAGCATCTCAACTGGCATAGGAAATCTCATTAGCTTGAATTCTCTATCCATGTCAGGCAACCAACTCACAGGTAACATTCCAACAGATATTTGCAAACTTCAGAATCTAAATCGATGGAATTTTGGAAGAAACAGATTTGATGGTTTTATTCCGTTCTCTATTGGAAATTTAAGCCTTTTACTCGAAGTTGATTTAAGTGGAAACAACTTTCAGGGTAGTATCCCTTCAAGTCTGGAAAAAATCCAGAGTTTACTACTACTGGATCTATCTGATAACAATCTTACTGGCACCATACCCCATCAGGTTATTGGTCTGTCATCCTTATCAGTGTATCTAAACTTGTCTCGAAACCATTTGAGTGGAACTCCTTCCAAGGGTCTATGCCTTCAACTTTAAGTTTCTTGAAAGGTATTCAAGAATTAGATCTTTCACGCAACAATTTGTCAGGAAAAATTCCTGAATATCTGACAGGCTTTCAGCTGAAGAAATTAAACCTATCCTTTAATGATTGTGATGGTGTGGTACCAATCAAAGGCATCTTCAAGAATGCGAGTGCAACTTTCCTTATGAGAAATCCTAAGTTATGTGGGGGTGTCCTTGAATTGAAATTGCCTAAATGCAACTTCAAAGAATTGAAGAAAAGTAGGTCAACTTTAATCGTTAAATTACTAGTGTCATTGTCTTGTGGCCTTCTAGGAGTAATTTTGGCACTGTGCGTTTTATATCTTTGTTGCTTCAGGAAGTCAAGAACAGAGATATCTTATGCTGTACCAGAGAATTCACTTTTGAAAGTTTCTTATCAAAGCCTTCTTAAAGCTACTAATGGATTTTCTTTAGAAAATTTAATGGGTGCAGGAAGTTTTGGTTCTGTGTATAAAGGAGTTCTTGATCAGGATGATGGTACTGTTGTTGCCGTAAAGGTACTTAACCTTTCGCGCCAAGGGGCTTTCAGGAGTTTTATTGCTGAGTGTGAGGCCTTGAGGAACATTAGGCATCGAAATCTTGTTAAGGTAGTCACTGCTTGTTCGGGTGTTGATTACCAAGGGAATGATTTCAAGGCATTGGTTTATGAGTTCATGTCCAATGGGAACCTAGAAGAGTGGTTGTATCCAATTCAACAAGAATATGAGGCAAACGAGGAACCCATGAAGTTAAGTCTATTTCAGAGATTAAATATTGCCATAGATGTTGCTTCTGCCCTAAATTATCTTCACCATGACTGCCAGAGTCCAATAATTCACTGTGATTTGAAGCCAAGCAACATTCTTCTAAACAATGAGATGACTGCACATGTTGGTGACTTTGGCTTAGCACAATTTCGTCTAAATGCTTGCTCTGTGAATTATAGTTCTATTGGACTAAAAGGATCCATTGGCTATGTTGCACCAGGTAAATATCTTCTTTCGTTATTTTCATTCATCTTGAAAACCCTACCCCCCCCCCCCCCCCCCCAACCCCTCCAACAAAAAAAAAAAACAAAGGTATGTGCTCAGCTCTTTTTTGATAATTCAAGTAACTGGCGGGCTAATCTTCTAATAGTTATTGCTGATTATACCCCTACTTTGGCTTGATCTTTGTTGTATCTCCTCTGCTTTTTTGAATACTTTTCCCTATGTGAAGTACAAATCAAAAAAGTATGCCCACTTTGTTCAATGTCAATTGGGTTTGAGTTAGATGTTTAATATGATATATGAATTGGGCTTTCGGATAGACCTCTCTATTTCCATTTCATTGATTTGGTAATTAGTTTATTCTTTGTTCATTCCATAAGTGCACATTGTTATATCAATGATTTACGCTTGCGATTTTTCTGTCTAAAAACATAAGTCTATTAGAGACCTTAATAACTTAACGCTTCTATTAAAGAATTTAACAATTACTACACTAGGTGGAAAATCAAAAGGAAAACTGGTAATACTACTTTTTTTGAAAATAAAATCCCCAATGCACATCTGCCAAATGTGGCTGCAAGTGCTAGTAACACTAGTTTTAAGTTGCAATGTCTATCCGGTTTTATAATATAGAGTACTTGCATGTTATTGAGCTACTATTTGATATTCTTTCTTTCCTATTTATTTTTTTCATTGTCAAATTTGAATTTCAGAATATGGCATGGGGAGTGAGGCATCAACTCATGGGGATGTGTACAGCCATGCTAATAGTTACAAGATTCGGGAGTGCTTGATTTCTGTCTTTGGAGTTGGAATCGCATGTTCAGAAGAAAGTCCAAGTGAACGATTGGACACCAGTGAAATTGTAGCCAATTTGCTGAACATCAAGAACAAATTAATGGGAACTGAAAACATACGAGGGAGAAGAGGAATTCAAATATAACCATGAAAAGGTAATGGCTCATCACTGTCTTATGAACTTTATCATGTGTATGTAAGCAGTCTATTGTCTTCCTAAAAAAGTTGAGTACCAAAATTAATTCAAATGAGCTGTAACTTGTGCCTTTTTGCTGTAACTTGTGCCTTTTTGCTGTAACTTGTGCCTTTTGAGTTGTCACGTGAACTGATTGTCGGAACTTTAGATATGATATTTAGAAGTAATTAAAGCAAAATCCGTATAACTGCTTACAAATGAAACCTCCAAGCTTCTAAGTAATCTGGGTTCGATCCTGGTATCTGCATGTGACTCCTGTCTCCTAGAGGGACTTAAAAATGTAGGAAAGGCTTTAAAGCTGTGATCACTATAAAATTCGGAAAAAGATTATTATTATTATTATTATTAAAAATTTTAATTAAAGGGAAAAAATAATAATTAATTGTAAATATAAGGGTCAAAAATGTAAAATTTTAAACTATAAATTTATACTATATATATATATATATAAGTGTGGAAGACTTTAGCCTTCCACTTTTTCTTCCTCCAGTCCGCTGCCGAGTGAGTGAGAGGGAGAAGAGAGTTTTTTTTTTTCTTTATTTTCCTTTTTTCTTCTTCTTCAAATCTATGAAGATTGAATCGTTTAATCGTTTTGAACCAAGAATTAAAGTTACTCTACTTAGCGAGAGCTACGCAACCATATCAAATATCGTATTTTTCTCCGAAAGAATATCAAAAATGATAATCTAGATCTAAAGTTTGGGAAGTTAAATTAGGCTTTCTCGAAATTCCAATACGTGGGCTCACGCTACGAAAAGTAGGGTTTCCTCTATTTAGATTTATTTTCAACCTAAAATATGGCATATGAAATGGGTAGGCTATGGGTGTATATCACATGTTAGGTCTTGACTAGTGTAACTAGTGGATCAAATATATGATTTATAATTAACTTTGTAATTAGAAAATTTCTATTATGATTAACTTGGCGTAAGTTAATGTTAGTGGTTTAAAGCATGTTAATTGTCCATTAGCATTATTTTATGTGTTAAATGACATATCAAGTTTAATAAAATTATTAACTTGTTATGTGATTATGGAATAATATGTATGTTAAATGATTATTTAGCATATAATTATTGTGGTGGACTTGTGTTTATGTTTATAGAATTGATAAACATGTTATCATGTTGAAAATATCATTATATTGCATTTTTTATATAATGGACATTGTAAATGGTACCAAAGACAATTGCACATTAAAATGTCATTATGCATGAGTTACATTATATCCATGGGCATTGACATGGGTGAGAGTGTGTGCATGGAATGAAATCAATCACCACATAGGCGGGTGATTGTAGGCTCAGAAAAGTCGCACCAAGGTCCGGCTGACTCACACGAAAAATTAAATGGATAAACGTGTTGAAGATAGCAAGAAGGGTTAAATTCTCCCTCGGGTGCAAGACTCACTTACTTGGTTTATACACTTTTCGGTGATTAAGTTTCAGAAAAGTGTAACAGCCAAAACGAAACCGCAAGTGGGATGTCCTAAAAATTCGTTGATGGTTGGTGTCCCATTGGTATAATACTATAAATCATCTTCTCACAAAGACACAAGAAAATGATTTAATTAGTCATTGAATGTACATAACTCCAATGACGGGGGCTTGAAATGCTCGGATACATACGCATGACATTGCATGTGTTGTAGGAGCTCAGGATGGGGTTCAGTGTTGGTATTATTTTCGTGAGTGTCATCTTATGACATGACATGATTTATGACATTTGTTCATAATAGACATATTTGAATGATTGTATGGAATGATTGTTGTATGTGACATTTCATATACATTTAGGTTGAGAGGTATTCTCTATATGAGTTACCCTATTGAGCATTAGCTCACCCTTTATGGGAACATTTTTCAGGTATTGCACAGGCATCCACTGAAGGCGAGGCCATGGGCCCGCTTTGACGACAGAGTCGGTCTATGGCTCTTCTTTTGACATCGTAGTCCCTTGTTTATAATTATTTTTGGTCTTGTGTAATTTTTGTAACAAAAACTTGTTTATATTTAAAAGGCATGTATAAGGAACTCTTTTGAGACATTTATTCTTTTATGAATGAATGTACGTAATGATGATGATTATGATAGTATTCGATACTATACAATTGTGAATGGATGGATAGACCCGGTATGGTCAATGTTATACAGGTTGCGTTTTGGGTAAAACTCCTCATACAAAGGAGACTCTGCCCAAATTTTGTTAAGTTATGAATCTCGGTAAATGGGGCATAACGGCGTGGTATCGAATTACATGGTATCCACGGGTATTCCACAGGTTGATAGATGATCAATCGAGTAATTACTGACACCTGATTTTTGGAGTGTCACAGCTTGGTATCAAAGCCTAGGTTCTCGATTTACCTATGGCTTGCAAGACATGGGTCTAGGCCATTGCATCCATTTTGCATTGTATGTTAAATGTATTAAATGTTACATGCTATGTGTTATGAGATTATATGTATGATTAAATGTATATAGGAATAAAATACTACGGTTGGAAAACATAACCTTAGAGTCAGGAAGGGAAAAGATGTGTAAGCCTACTGTTTGAGTATCTGCCGGTAGGTATATATTCTACTGTTTAATTTTGATCCATAACTTTGGGATACTATGTTATTGGTCTATTGCTATTTTATGTGTATGTAGATTGCAACTAGAGGAAGGGGACGTCGGGGTGGACGAAACAACCAACCACCACCACCAGCTTTTGATCAACAAGCCTTTATGGAGGCTATGGGTATGATGGCTGCCACTTTTTTGCAAGCCAATGCCAATGTGGGCCAAGGAGGCTCAAACAACCTCCAGAAGTTTAAGTCCCATAACCCACCAACTTTTGTAGAATGAGGGGATCCGGTGATAGCTGACCATTTGTTCCAACAGGTGGACAAAATTTTAGAGGCAATGGAGATTGCATCCGATGCCACTAAGATACGGCTGACCACTTTTCAGTTTGAGGGAGAAGTCCATCAATAGTGGACATGGGCAAAGTCGATAGACATCGGGAGGATGACATGGGGAGAGTTTCAAGAGCTCTTCATGAAGAAGTATTTTCCACTAGTTGTTCGGGAAGTCAAAGTCTAGGAATTTCTAAACTTAAAGCAAGGAACGAAGACGATTATGCAGTACGCGACCAAATTCACAAAATTGGCACGTTTTACAGATGACTACGTGGCCACGAATTTGGCCAAGGTACGGAGGTTTGAGAATGGCCTAAAGCTATCCATCCGTGGGAAGATTGTTGGCCACAGGTTGCACGACTTAGATGAGATGGTCGAGATAGTCATGGCTATAGAGAGAGAGAGATGGAAGACGCCAAGAGTATTCGAGAGGCCGGATCAAAGGACAGGAAGAAGGAGGGACAGTCCTCCACTACTAGCTCGGGAAAAAGACAGAGAATTTCTATGTCATAAGGATCACAGGGACAGGGCCAATGCCAAGGCCATGGTCAATCTTTCCAAGGCAGGAGAAATTCTAGGGGCACACAACAAGGAGGCCCATGGACATGTCACTATTGCCACCAACCAGGCCACTTAAAGAGAGAGTGTCCTTAGAGGCAAGGATCTCAGACCTACAGGGCATCTTAGTCTCAGTCATCAGTGGGGTATCCACAGACCTACTTCATTCCTTCTTATCCCACCAAGGGCTAGGAAAATTAGTTCCAATTTCAGAGTGCAGCACATGGCCTGGGTCAAGGCTTTCAGGCATGGACTTTAGGGACCCAAGGGCGAGTCTTCGCCATCACACCACAGACTTTACCAGTAAATTAGTTGATAATTCAGGGTACATTTCTTCTCTCTAGATTATAGACTAGAGTATTATTTGATTCTGGTGCATCATATTCTTTTATTGCTACATCATGCCTACGAGACTTGGACTTAGAGGTCGAGACTCTAGAGGAGCCCATGTATGTGAGTTCACCCCTATGAGACAGAGTTTGTATTGACAAGATATGTCAAGGTTATGAGTTGGAGATCGAAGGAACCCTACTTACCGTTGATCTTAGGGTTATCGAGATGAGAAAGTTTGATGTCATACTCGGGATAGATTGGTTGGCGGCACATAAGGTCGTCATTGATTGCGAGCGCAAGAAGGTTACAGTCTACACTTCAGACGGGGTTTATTTCAAGTTTCAGAAACACAATACTTTACCCCATGTCGTATATGACTACCGATGGCACGAACAGTTGATAGGTTGGCTTGCTAGCCTTACACTAGAGGACGAGGTGAGACATGAGTTGGGTCTGCCTTGAGTCGTGTGTGACTATGCAGACATTTTTCTAGATGAGTTTTCAGGATTGCCATCGCATCGGGATGTAGACTTCACCATAGAGTTACAGCCCGCTGCGTCCCCTATTTCTATGACACCACATAGGATGGCACCAGTGGAATTACAGGAACTTAAAGTCCAGTTACAAGAGTTATTGGACAGAGGCTTTATTAGGCCGAGTACTTCACCTTGGGGTGCTCCAGTGCTATTTGCCAAAAAGAATGACAGAACACTTAGGCTCTGCATTGACTACCGGCAGTTGAACAATGTCACTATCAAGAATAGGTACCCTTTGCCGCGTATTAATGACTTGTTTGACCAGTTGAGAGGGGCATGGGTCTACTCCAAGATAGATCTGCGCACGGAGTACCATCAGTTGAGGATTAGGGATGCCGACATTCCAAAGACGGCATTTCGAATGCGATATGGGTATTTTTAGTTTATTGTGATGCTATTCGGTTTGACGAATGCCCCAGCGGCATTCATGGATCTTATGCATCGAGTGTTTCAGCCCTACCTAGATCAGTTCGCTATGGTCTTTGTTGATGACATACTGATCTACTCCAAGTCTGAAAAGGAGCATGAGGGTCACTTAAGGGTTGTTCTCCAGACCTTGTGAGACTACCGGTTGTACGCCAAGTTCAACAAATGTGAATTTTAACTTACGGAGGTAAAGT